TTATTCATTCTGTAGAAATGACAATTAATGGATAAATTTGATCGAAGAAAAATTTGATCCATTTTAAAGAATACAATTTCGTCCGTCTCAATCATTGCTCTCTCTCTCTCTCTTTCTCTCTCTCTCTCTCTATCCAACTATCTATCTATTAATCGATCTAACTAATTATCTATATCCATTCATTTATCCATATTAATCTTATTAAATACAACAAAGAGAAATATATTTTCTAGCGGTCGTCGACACGTAAGCATTTCAAACTGCTACCGGGTACTTGTGGTCTTGCTTTCAAGGTCGAACTCATGGCTCGTCGAGCACGATCGTGTGTCGCGTCTAACAGAGAAGTTGACGAAGAAAGACGGAAAACGATGAAAACGTCACGAATGAACGGGGATCTACTTCTCTCTCTCTCTCTCTCTCTCTCTCTCTCTCTCTCTCTCTTCTTTTCTTTTTTTTTTTTTATCTTCATCGAACAAGCTAATTGGGTACGCGGTTTACGAGTCAAGGTACCTTGGACGTGTTCCAGAAGAGATCGACAAAAGGAAAGTATGTCTCGTACGAAAATGTGGCTCGTAGAGCAACCTTCGGATTCTCGATCCAAAGTGTTGGTTGTGCTAAAGTTGAAAGGGATAGAGAGGAAAGAAGTGGTGGATAAGGTGGAGGTGGAGATAGAGATGGAGAGGGTAGAGGGTAGAGGTAGAGATAGAGATGGAGAGGTAGAGGTAGAGGTAGAAGAAGTAGAGGAAGAGGAGGTTGCGCAATCTTCGAAGATGGAAAACACACTGCTCTGTGTGTTACGACGTAATCGCATGGGCGAGCGTGCCAAGAGTGCCATCGGCCACCTGGATGGTCGATGGAGAACGTCATAGTCGAGTAGGATCAACATTCGCGATACGATCCATACGGATCAAAAGATCATACGCGAATTTTACTGCATATTGTAGATTGGTACTCATAATACGCGTATGGTTACATTCACGTACATTCAAACACCAATCATTTGTGTTATTAAGCTTTGTCGATAAGTTTTCTTTTATTACATTTACATAACGGGGAAAATTAATAATATTGTTATTTTATATAATACATTGTTCTTACGAAATTTCATCGTTTAACGTTATTATGTAAATAATAAAAATCGTATCTAACGCATATAATCGTGGCTTTCGTTGGATCGTCATTATTGACGGGTGGGCAGGGGTGATGGTGGGGAAGGAAATAAATAAATAAATAAATAAATAAAATAATAAAAAATAATGCATTGTTATATACTGTCTATTAATAATTTATTAAAAATGTTATATCCTTCATCGACACGTATAGATTAAGATTGTTCGAAGGAAATAATAAAAATAAAGGAGAGAGAGAGAGAGAGAGAGAGAGAGAGAGAGAGAAATAAAAGTGAATTATAACCTGTCTATCAATATTTAATTAACGATCTTATTTCTATTATTATCTAATATTAAAATCTTCTTTCGCCGTGCAATATCTCGATAAGGAAGAAAGAGAAGGCGCGGGGGTAGGAGAAGAAGAAGAAAAAAAATCACAGAAATATAAAAAAAAAAAAAAAAAAAAAGAAAGAAGCAAAAAAGAAGAAAAGACCTTCGAAATTTTTCTCCGATAAAAATACGACTCGTCCTTGTAAAAATAATTGCATGCTAAATAAAACAAAAAAAGACTTTTGAAGAATTTAATATTCCATTTTAAATATCTTACTTGATTATGACGAAAGGAAAAAAAAAAAAGAAAGAAAAAAGAAGAGAAAAGAAAAAAGAAAAAGAATAAGAAATAAATTTAACTGTTGTTTCCAAATTAGAATTAAGGTATAGTTGTTAGAAGAAACACACACGAGAGTTATGCCCTGGTATCTTTCGTCGTAACGTCACAGCTGGCTATCCTATCGATCCGTACATGCTTTCTCGCTCTATGCCTATCTATTTGCGCCTTTCTCTCTCTCTCTCTCTCTCTTTCTCTCTTTGTCACTCTCTTTCTCTCTCTTTT